CAGTTCCTTAAGCAAGCTGAGGATCTCGCCGATGATAATTGCGATCATATTCTCAGTTTCCTCGATAAATCCCGGCTCGGAGCCCCATAGAGCGTCGTTGGACTCAACTAAAACCCCTAGTTGCACTATTGCTTGATATATTTGCTGAAACCTACCTCGATCTATGTGATATGGATAGACCTCTTGCGCCATTACAGCCAGCAAGTCGATAACGTTGATGTAGATTGAACACAAATTGGCGGAGCTCCAGCCGAAATTCTTCAGCACATTGAGCAGCTTCTTGGAAACGCTCAGAATTCCCCTGTCTGGATTGTCTGGCACCACCAGCAGAACTGCGAGAAATTGCCGCACAAATGGGAGCAGACATGCTTCGGTGTCAGCAGACGGCGTCAACTCGGATATTACAGAGAGGATGGCTCTAAAGCACGCATCAGCTAGAAAAACCTTTTGAGTTTAGCTAAGTTTTCGTTAATCGAGTCAACATACCTTGCCCGAGACAGTGATTGCTAAGCGCCACTTGCCCAGAAAGCAAATACAGGCTTAATCGCACTTTCGTGGAATCAATGGAAGGAATGGTGATGAAACAGTAAGCGGCACACGCACGCACAAAATCCCCGGTTTTCCTTGTATGAAGCCCCTTAACCACTAGCCGAGTATTAACAGCCAATAAATTCACGCGCTGAAACAATGCACGTGAATGTTACAACTATGAGGAGATTTTTTGGGAGTTGGAAACGTACCTGGACCAGCTGAGCCAAAACAGCGTCAAAACTGGCAAAAGAGCCGCGGGCTTCCACGTAAAACTGCAATTGCTGCTCGAAATCGCGCCCATAATCCACCAGATTGACAATGTTGCACAAAATGTCCCCGATTTGCCTGTTTGGCGAGATTATAGATCCGGGATTAGAAACTGACGATAATAATTACCGATGCTCGTCCTCAGGAGTCAGAGCGTTAACGCAGTCATGCAAAATGCCGCCCAAATACATCAGCGCGTTGATTGTTACCAGATCGTTTGTCTTCTGCTCCACTAAGTTGGAAGTTAATATCAGCTTGCAAACTTCCACTTTGGTGGATTCGTCGTGAAACAAGTCGATCAACGGCAGAAAATTGTCCTGTAAACGAGGCATTTTAGAAAATCCGATGGAAAAGCTCCGTCAAAGCAGATAATTTACCATTGAAAGAAGCGCTTCGAAATCGGTAATTTCCGCTACAATGTGTCTGACTATCGCCTTTAGCTGCATAGGGAACTTTTCCGAGCATCGGTTAGGAACCATATGGTCGAGCACATCGCCCAGCACGGTGTTTACTTCCCGAGTCTAAAAACACCGCATTTTGCGCAATTCCAGCATATAGAACGTGCTCACCGAAAAATTGCGGGCGATAAACTGCACCCAAATTTCCACACAACTCATATACTCGGACGGTTTTTTCAGCTGAGCAATGTTGCTCCAAACGGCGTTTAGGGCTGGTTTTCGTTGCTCTGCAGGCGGTGGGCAGATGCTGACGCACAGTCCCAGTGTTCTTAAAAGCGAGTGCAGCGGAATTCCTGCGAGATTTGTTTCCATTGTGGTTTCTTATGGTTTTGGCTATACATACACTTACCATCATCTGTGCACTGTCCGATCATGCACAAAAACTGAAGAGTCCTCTGGGCAATGTACGTGGGCTTAAAGCCCGACATGATGGTATTTAAAATCAACGAACTGAAACACAATTGTGCCTTAAAAAATTAACTTCATCAAAAAATTGCACTGTACCTGTTGCTGTAGCGCTTGCACTCCTCCAAAAGCTCCGACAAAACACTTTCAGGAGAATGCTGAACTACCGCCTCCATTATATAATCTAGAGCAGGAGTGTAGAGGGTCATGTAAATGGGAATGCTGAGGTTTTGCCTGCTTAAATCGCCCGTGGCGCTTCTGCCAAATAACTAAAACAGCCAGTTTCCCGGAGGAGAAAAACCAAAAATCCCAACTTACGTGCTGGTACGTTTCCAAGAAGCACTCAAAATTTCTTTTCAGATAACCGGTCTCGGAGTGTCTGGTCATAACGTTTAGCCCGACCCTGCAAAGGTAACAGCGCGCGTATATTGCCACCAAAGGGTTTCCAATGCCCAAAATCATCTCAGTCAGCCTGAATAGTGCCTCGGGGCATTCACTGAAACTCACACCATTTAATGGGGTTTTTGCTTGAGCTGTTCGACAAATTTTTACTTTGCCGATATAAAATAGTAGGACTTTAGCAGAGCCATCTCAACATACAGCCTTGGCACTAGTTCCCTGATGGAGGCAATCTTGAAAAACCAATTTAAGCAAGTCTCTTTGGCGCTATCAGGCACCATGTCGGGCGTAAAGTCCTCAGGCAGAGCTACCGGGGTTTTACCTCCAGGCCTAAAACCAGCCAACTTTAGGCTTAAGCGCTTCAGCAATCAGTCAGTTACTTGTAATAAACCGCCTTCGCACGCAGCCTTTCATAAACCAGCTTTCCAAAGCAATCCAAAATATCGGTAACCAACACAAACTTGCTGGGGTAAAAGGGTAAAACGTCCGAATCGGCCAACATTTTTGCACATTGGATTGCGATCTTTAGGGCTTTCACTCTTTGCTGCATATTCCAAGCCTGCACCAGCTCCCTAAAAGTGACCGTCAGACATAAACGCTTAATCTAATGAGGATCGCTTGCTTGTTGAGCTGTTGAATTTTCAGCAAATATTCCGCCTGCGATAGATCGAGCTTTCTCTGTGGACCTTCTTCGAAACTATCCAGTTGCTCTAGCCGATGCTGCACTTTGTCCACTTTGGTGCTTTGCGCTCTAACTACAACTAAATAAAGAATTTATATCGGAAAGCATTATTCAACCAGCGCCATTCAGGCCCGAGTTTTCATCAGGCCAAGCTTCCTCCACTATAATGCTTAGCTTGCACAAATTTAGTGTTTTCTTGCAATGTAATATAGAAAAAAGGTGCTGTGAGACTTTCCTACTGCAGTTGTTCCTACCTTTCTCTCCCTCCAACAGAAAACTAGTAACCATTGAAAGCTTTTCTGAAGTGGTATACTTTTGCAAAATGCCACTCTTCCTGCTTGTCCAAGAGTCAGTTTTGTCGCGTTTTTCGTCGGCCTTTTTACTGGGTTCTTTCTTAGCCGATAAGCTATCAACAGCATCCTATTGAAAACTAGGTCAGTCATCTCCAAATACGATTTTTTGAGATTTCTACCATTTCTGCGGCTATTTTCGATAAAGGGTCCAGCTCCTCGCGCATAGCGAACTCCGTTAAGGGGTCGAGTTTCTTCAGGGCAAGAGCCAGGGGCTCAGAAATATTGGCGGCGGCTGATATTGGCGTGCTGCGCCCTGTGCTGGGGGCGGAGCCCAAAACTCTGCGGGGAATCCTTTCTGTAACCTGGATAATTGATGAAAAAAGGGGCGAAGTTGATTGTTTAGGAAATGGGGCTTACAACGACATTTTTTAGAGGGTGATCCACGGTGGCAACCCAATTAAATTCGAGCTTCCTCGAGTCCACATTTCGCTCGGTTTTCCTGCAAAAAACACAAGTTTTCGATGGTTACAAGGAAATTAACGTGAATCTTACCAAACTGGGAGGTTTGCTGACATGTTTTTGTTTATCTCATGCCCTGGACACCACAGAACATCCCCCCTAGGGAAAGACACGTTCTGTGGTTTCTGAACTATAACTGAGAAAAACTGATTTCATAGCAGCCAGAGGCACCATAGAGTAAGCAAAATAATTACTTATTATTTATAATTATAATTAATTATTTTACTTTTTCTATGAGAGGCGCTACAGAAGTTGAAGACAGCTACAGATTAAATCATGAATAACCCACTGTTGGAAAATATTCTGTGGATGACAGGGTTAACGCAAGTCAAATGTCAAATAAATCTTCCCCATTGTTGTTTGTGGTTTTGTCATGGACAATTGATGATAGTTTAAGTGAAAAGTGAGTTTTTCTTAATTAATACTCCTGCCACTTGCCCTACGCTGTTGTTATTAACGCTTTCGGGACACTATATGGGTCCAATGTCCAACAAATGTGCTTTACAGAGCAATACTAGTGAAGTCTTCTAATATTGTTTAAGCAAGCACGTAAAAAAAATCCTACTCTTAACGAAACTGCACACTTTTGTAGGTACAAATAGCCCCCATACTTAACCGGGAGTTGTAGGGGTTTTGCATGGTGGTTTTCCTGTTTTTAGATTGATTCAGGCAGCGACGATCTTGCTGTAGTGGAAAACTGTAGGTTGCTCATTATCCACATGAGAATGAACCACCTACCGAAAAAGTAGACGAAAAACTCGATAGGAAAACTCTGTAACCGGCCGAACATCTAGCTAGATACAAGGTATAAATGTTGTTTAATAAATTTAGCGTTTTGCGCGAAAACTGCACATTTCTAAATATATATTCTTTATATTTAAAAAAAATGCATGTTTTATTGCGCTAGACGTTCATTTAAATTCACCAACTAATTAACCCTTCATTGTTTTAGTAAATTTCCATTGGCGACACTAACGTGTCAGTTGTCAAGTTAGGTTAGAGCTAACCTCACTTTTCAACTTCACCGCATTTTCCCGAGAGTTTTTCCATCAAAGAAAATTCGGTGAAACCTTCAAGTGAACATGGCGCAAAGTTTCCTAACCATTTTCAGAAAGCCGCTGAATGCCGGATTTCTATCCAAGCTGAATAATGTTGCGTTATCCCCAATTTACTGTCAAGGTACTTTAATGTTTTATTGCATAAGTTTCCATATAATAATAATAATAATTGTTATTTATCAATGTTCCTCCAGATGTGAAACATCTCTATTCGAAGACCGCCTTGGGTCTAGACGGGTTTGTGCAACAAAAAGAACGAATTAAAATGCAAATGGCCAGCATTTCTGACAAGTTCAAAGATAAAATGTCCGAATATGTGGCTTCTGAATCGAAAAACCTGATATTTACGGAGGATTTGAAGAATATGGTGCATCTGGCAGATACAGACAAAGAAATAGAGTTGGCTATTCAGATGACAAAACGGTAACACGGTCTTGGACATGGAAGCCCATTAATATTTGATACTTTTCCAGTTATAATCAGCAAAACCGGTCACTACGGTTTGGCAACTATATTTTCGGGCCGGTGATCATGAGAATGTTCTACGTCCATAACAAGCCCGACTTAGCTGTGGAGGTAAATAAGGCCCTCCCAAAATGTTCGTTGAGTCGAAAGAAATTTCATTTCTAGTGCTTCAAGTCTGAGGAACTGAGAGGCATTTTCGAGCAGACAATTTCCTATCAGCTCCTGCTGGATTTGCTCTACGAGAACCAAAAATATCAGGAAATTCTGGACCTTTTCGAAATCATCACAGACAAACAAGTCGAGGGGCTGAAGTATCCGAGACATGCGGTTGTTCTGGCAATGGCAGCCTGCTATAAACTGGTAAGATTCTTAAGCCTACTTAACATCCATACGCTGTACTTTGTTTGCGCCGCAGAACAATCCAGAGTCTTTGGAATATGCTCTGAAACAGTGGAAGAGTCTCAGTGAGTTTGGGCATCAGGCAATGCGCAAAGCCACAACGTTTTGCGCCGGTCTAGCACTCAACCAAGGCAAACCAGAAATAGCATTGGAACTGTTGACTTCCGTAAAAAACCAAAATTACACCACTGTGCGCAACCTTAAAGTAGCATCGTTGGCAGGAGTTGGAAGAGTGGAAGATGCCATTCCCATTCTAAAAGCTGTTCTCAGTGAAGACGTTTCACTTACAGATTATAGAAAGGCCCACACGTTCAACAGGGATGTAATTGAACGCGTAAAGCAAGCAATGGCAAGTTCAGATGATGCAGAACTCACCTTGGAGTTCAACAGGCTGGAGCAGATCTTCGAAAAAGAGGGGCACATTTCAGATCAAGTGAGTAAACGGGTTTAATCTTGAAGTTCATTTAACGCGTTTTGGCGCTCGGTAGTCTTTAGACGATCAGCTGTGTTCGGAGATCCAAAAAACTATCCAAAACAGGGACAGGGAGTTTAGAGATAATTCAGACTTCCAACCGAGAGGGCAGTACAACTATAACAGGGGGTATCAGCAAAGGCAGAATCAGGGCAGATATAATTCTTCCAGGCCTGGATTGGTCGACCTAGTTTGATGTATTTAAGAAAGCAAATATAAAAGAAACCAACATGTTTTTTAATCTCTTCAGTGTTTTTTTGCTAAATCAAGTATTAACCCACTTACCGCTGCCTGAACTGAAAATGTAACAATTCAGTTTATTCTTTTTTAGAGGTTTTTTTGCTCTTCTTTTGAGATTTGCTGGGTTTTTCCTCCACTTTTTCTGATTTCTTCAGGAACTTGAGCACAGTGGAAATGACCAGGCCGAGAAGCAAGCTCCCAAATCCGACTTGCCACAGATAAGGATTATCTTTCATGAACGTAACAGTGGCCGCAATTAGATCATCGAACGGCGATTTTGGCACTGGAACATTCTCGGGCTTCATGTTTTTAAACCTTGAAGGCAAATTGCAGTGAAACCGCCCGCATTAGAAGCCAATTAACTGTACCAGTCCTGAGCGAATGCCACTAGCGACTTAATCTCGAAGTCCTGATTGTGATACTTGTACATCTTTCCCTTCTTGAACAGGATGAAAGTTGGGACCTCAAACACATCGAATCGTCGGGCAGTCATGGCGCCTGTAGTGGCTCGGTTTACTCGGGCAATGTTCATGCGGGACTTCAAATGGGCCCCCACAGCTTCCCATTTGGCTTGCATTCGTTGGCATTCCACACAGTCTGTTGTGTAGAACTGAACAAACCAATCGCCTAAAAATTCAGGTTCGCAGAATTCCCATTGGGGTGGACACAATTTCCAGTACCAGTGGTGGCTCCTGAAGCAGCCTGCGTTAAATGTTCGAAAGTTTCATCGGTCAGCTCTTTCACAGCCGGCTCTTTGTTATTGGAAAACGTATCAAGTATAATTTGATCGTCTATCGGTCCGTCGTAGAGCAGCGGTATTCCATGCCTGAAGAACACCACCGCTGGCTCCTAAACACACCACAATACCGTTAGCAGATGCATGGGGAAATGATGGCATTTGCCTACCTTGTTAGGAGTATATAACCGGGTCATCGAACTATCAATTAATTTCACTACCCATGCATTGAGCACTTCCACCACATCCTCCCTAATGGCAGTCAATTGGTTTTCGTAATTATCGCATTCACGGCAGTGTTTTGTGGAAAACAGGACAACCAGATATTTTTCACTCCTAATCAAATTTACCAACTCATCATCGAGTATTTGTTCCAGTTCCGATTTCGCGTGGCAAAAAATCGCAGCGAACAGTAGGAACAGGGAGAAACGCATTTCGAGAAGAAAACTCCAGATAACTTACAAATGAGCAGTTTGCCGGAATGTTTTGAGTTGAGAAGAGTTTAACCTCAACAAATTTTGAGGCAATGTGACGTTTACCTTGGATCTGGATCAGTCAACTGCAGGTGCAGATCACAGAACATCCCCCTTGGGGGATGTTCTGTGTCACATATTTCCAGCTTGAAAAACCATTAATGATTAACAGAAAATTAATCCTGCGTTGTCACTAACATAATTCGGAATTAATTTAAATTTCATTCGGATTGAATTTTCGATTATCGCTAAACAGTTGTACTATTTCCAATCACATTTAAATCTCCCGCCGTTTACCACCCGGTTAGCAACAGATCATCACATAAACCATCACCTAACCTCACACAACTTTCAAAATTGTGCCATGTCTGGTGATTTTGAGGCAATCGTGAAATATCTCAAAGAAAAGGTACTCTACAGCGATGAAGTTGTGGGCAAAGAGAAGGAAAAGAAGCAAGTGTTGAATTTGCTTCGAAGAACTGTGGTGGATGGTGAGTCGAACTCCATGCTGTTGATTGGGCCCCAAGGGGCTGAGTCGTCCAAGGTTTGTTGTCCTGAAGCCTTTGCCTGATTGTTAAGCATAGCTGTTGTTGGGTAGTTAGTGAACAGTGTCCTGAAGGAGCTGGAGGGATTAAAAGACTACATAATAGTAGAACTCCATGGGCTGCTCCACACGGACGATCGGCTGGCTTTGAAAAGCATCACTTTTCAACTGAATTTGGACAACGCCGTTGACGGCAAAGTTTTCGGTAGTTTTGCCGAGAACCTGGCATTCCTGTTAGCTTGCTTGCGAACTGGTAAGTCCCAAAGTTTCTCCACTGTCCTGCATCACTTGCCGTTGCTTCCAGGCGGAAAAGAGTCATCGAAAAGCGTCATTTTCATACTGCAAGCATTCGACTTGTTCTGCGCCCACCACAATCAAACGCTGCTGTACAATTTGTTTGATATTTCCCAGAGCGCTCAAACCCCAATCTGTGTCCTCGGTAAAGTACCGCTTCTACGAGCCGATTTGGGGTTCTACTTTGTTTTTTCAGGCTTGACTTGTCGCATCAACGTGATTCAACTGCTAGAAAAACGGGTGAAATCCAGGTTTTCCCATAGGCAAATGTTTCTTTATGCGGGTTCAGAAGAAACATCCGATCTAGGTAAAACAGTATGGCTGCAATTAACAGTTTTAATCAGTTCGTCGCTTCAGACTTTGCCTTGGATAGGATGGCTTGGTACCTGGAGCTTCCTCCGAAATGCCCCGTAGGAATCACTAGTAAAGCCAGAGATGCATGGAACCTTAATGTGCAGGAGCTTCTAAAAAATAAAAAGTTTAGAGCTGTAACTGAAAGGATGATAGGTTTGGAGCTTAGCGAGCAAATCTTGAAGAATGTGCTAGTAAGTTAAAATGCACCAATAACCAAAATGTGTTCATGCATCCTTTTAGCTCAAATGCCTGTATTCACTCACAAACACCGACCAACTTCTCACTGTGAACCAGTTCGAAAAAGAGCTGGAATCTTTGGAAAAAGACGAGATGGTTCAAGTCTTGCAGGATTTGAGCGCCTTGGAAATTTGCCTTATTGTAGCCATGCAACATCACAGCGATATTTACGACAACAGTCCAATGAACTTCGAAATGGTTTACACCAGATATGTGAAATTTGCCCATAAACATTCAAGTATGCAGAACGTTCAACGGCCAGTCGTCATGAAGGCATTTGAGCATATAGAGGTAAAGCTAGCGGATACGATTCGTCCGTCTTCTAAACAACCCTTTGCTTTAAGGCCATCGAACTGATCGCGATGGTTAATCAACAAGGCAGCGCCAAGTTGCAAAAGGAGTATCAGTTTTTCAAGCTCTTAGTCACGCCGCAACAGATTTCGGAAGCGATTGGTAAAATGCAAGGCCTTCCCACTGAAATTGTCCAATGGTGGAACAGTTCACTAATTTAATTAGACCTGGATGGAACCTAAAGAACAAACAAACTATGAGGTTGAATTCAATAACATATGGTATATTATTTACATTTAATATAAAACGTGTTAGTCCCTGTAGCGCAATATGGAACTCACAAGAACATTTCAACGTGTGGAAAAGCCTACTATTCGTTATTTTAAAGACAAATTTAACACAATCACAACCAAAAAGCTTCAAATTTACTTGGAAAAACCCAAATTGCACAGTGTCTTCATAGAGCCTTGTAAGCCACGCCATCACAAAATACAAACAGATAAATATTGATATAAGTAGACGAACACGCCCAATTTTATTTTATCCCCAGAATCTTCCTGGATACTGAAGCGTGTTTTTACATGAAATTGTGCTACTTATATCAGGGCATATTATTGCTAGCCACGTGGATTACCATAAGATATAAAGGCATTGTACGGAAATACCCATTAAACGCATTAGGCCGTGTTTGTAAAATGTACTTTGACTGAACTGAAAAATTGTGTATCTGCTTCATAAACAAAATATGAGGTCGGCAAAAACACAAAATGCTTCAGGTTTTGGAAGCAAATATTAGCGTTTGTAGTAACACGCTTAAAGATTATTTTATAGCGTTTACAAAAGAGAAAGTTTCGCAGCTTTACTGTAATCTAAGCATTAAAACACTGGTTTCGTCACAAAAACGTTTCAATCCAAAGTGGATTGTGCGAATTTAACGGCGTTGAAGAATGGAAAATTGTTTAAAACCCTAGTTCTATCTAAGTTTACCTACTTATATACACAACCATTACTCAGAGATATTTAGTACTTAAGGCAATTAATTACATGTAAGTTTAGAATATGGTCGGTATTGGCCCGGGAGTTGTTAAAAAAATAACCATTGGGGAGCTAAAAGAGGTGATTATTTAGTTCCAAACCGCGTTCAGCTACCAGTTCTAGAGTCCAAAATCTTAATCTAAGATTGTGTGTGTGTCTAAAGTTTTAGTAACAAAACTTTACCCACGCACACGAAATAAATAATTTAAATGAGTATTATAAAAATTCGGCAAAAGATATTGGAAGACTAATTGTCAAATAATTGCGAGCGCGCCTTAGTCTAAGTCGATAAACATATAAAAATATAAAAAATTTGATGAGCTCAATAAGTTAAGTACCTAAATTAAAAACTGCATTCCACGGATGTCCCCGATTTAGCCACTGATAAAGTTTGCATTAAAAACATTCTGTCGATTAAAAACAATATATGTAGTACATAAGAGTGGTTAGCACTGGACAAAGATCAATGAACGTTCTTTCAAAGAATATACCCATGAAATCAACACGTTTTCATTGCCAATCAAAAATGAATATCAATTTTATATTTGAAACCCGATCTAGTTGTTTCCGTTTGCTGACCACCTTGTGTTGAACTGTTACTAGACTGGTGAAAGATTGAAGAAGCGAAAATAAACGTAAAACCTATTAAATGAATGGGATCCTGCACCCGTTTCAATCGGGCTGCATTTGGTCATCTGTATTGTAATTTAGAGAGCGGTAATACCGAAACGCTATCATACAGATACGGGGCAAATAGACAAGATGCTCCATCAAGACTTAATGCCGATGAGACATCGCTTCACGTTATGCAGCCACTTTTTCTCTCGTCATTGCTCCGCCCTGTATCTAAACCGAATTGTTTCAGTAAAACTCCAAAACACGAATAAACACTCAACCTACTTTTCCCACCGGGCATCGTCGGACTCATGGGTCAGGTATCGGACGTTTATTTGATTCTCCAGCGACCTCAAGTCGCACCACGCCTGGTAGTCCTTGGAAAGAACGCGTAGAAAACATCACTGTAGGTTTTTAAGTGCTTACCTGCAACCAGACATGTTGGAGCGATTTATCCACGGTGTATCGCTTCCGTTGCTTCACTTGCAGCAGATTGTTGATCAAGTCGATTGCTGCAGGGAAAGCGGATGAGCTGAAGAATCACTGGACGGAAGTCGGAGCTTACCATCAGAAGAAATTTCCTTCCAAGGATTAGGCGGGTACATGAAAGCGGCGTTCTGGATTTGGTCGTTGATGTCCTCGTCCTCATTAAACGGGAAAGTGCCGCTCAAACTCACGTAGACAATCACCCCGACGCTCCACATGTCCAAGGAGCGATTGTAGCCTTTGTTCCTTAGCACCTCTGGAGCTAGTGAGACGGTGAACAATAAAAATCCAATTTAGGAATGTTTTCCAGGCTTTGAAGCCGTGGTCTATGGGAATTTCTTGCTGACGTTTCGTCCACAGCTGTGCTGGACATTATGTATTTATGCGACGACAGGGGATCCACTGGTTGAACCAGTCTTAGTCGGAAAGCACGGGAGATCACTTCGCCCACTGGCTCATCGCCTTTGATAATGTCCAGCACAGCTGTGGACGAAACGTCAGGAAGAAATTCCCATAGACCACGGCTTCAAAGCCCGGAAAACATTCCTAAATGTGATTTAACAGGCCGTGCACGCCTTCATGGTCTGATAATAAAAATCCAACTTTTCCCGGATTGCATGGTCACCTACCTAAATATGCCGGGGTGCCCACTACGGATCTTCGAAACGACTTCTCGCCAATGATTCTGGCGAAGCCAAAGTCGCAAAGCTTGACTTGCGGATATTCAGCGTCTGAGTTCAACAGGACGTTTTCCGGCTTCAGATCACAGTGCACGATGTTTTTGCTGTGTAGGTGTTTCAACGCGACCAAAATCTGCACGATTTCAAACATCGATTGGCAAAAATCCATCCCAAGTGGCAAAGTTTACCTGAGTGATCAGAAATTTGGTCACCCTTTCAGTGAGTCGGCCCTTTTCATGCGACAAAATCATCTCCAACATGTCGCCTTTCAGCTTCTCCATCACCACGAAGATGCGTTCGGGCGTTTCGAACATTCGCTCCAGGTTTACCACCCCGGAGTGGGACAGATTTTGCAAAATGGCTACTTCGTTCTTCAATTGTGCTTCTTGTTTGGTTGGGAAGCGCAGCTTATCAATAACCTGTGAATGTTCAATTTAACCGTGGTGTATTTTACATTATTTATTGGCTTTACTTTAATAGCTACGGATCGCCCGGTTCTTCGATGAACTCCGCCATAGACAATGCCAAACTGACCCGACCCCAATACCTCATCCGGATAGATTTGGTAGATTTGGCTCATGTCGGTTATCTGCTCCTCGCTTTGGCTGGACATTTCATCCGGTTCTGCAGCACAGACCATTAGCTATACGGATTGATTCAAAAACTTACTAGACCAACTTCCAGAATTGCCGGTAACCGGAAGCATTGCCTGCCTAATGGTTGTTTCCCAGCTCTTGGACAAGTAGGCTCCAATCCCGCTATCCGGAGGCGGCAAGTTAACGTTGTTACCATCTTGCAGCTCATGAAGCGGATCCTGGCCGACGAAGTAATCCACATTGGCGGTGCGAATTTCGAAACAATGCATCACATCTCCCTGCTTAATTCTGGCTGTGTCAATCGTCAGGATTTCCGATAAGGGGATTTCTTTGTAGTATTTCGTACTGGTGTCGCTTTGAAATAGCACTAGCGACTTTGTATCCAATCGCCAAAAGTGTCTTCGAACCTGGTTGAAATCCAGTCAACAATGTTACTTTATACGAATGGGAACAAGCGGTTATTCGAAAATGTTTAGGCCCAAACCAGTTGAGATTAAAAAGCGTTTTTTGCAAAACGATCCACCCAGAATTTGCGTTTTAAATGGCAAAGAAGGTGCTTACAGTGCGGTCCTTATTGGTAAAATGCACCAGCCATCCCTCTTTGATTATCTTGGAGCCCCGCCGCTTGGTGTGTTTCACAGACTGAACAATTCGTTGAAGAGGAATGTTGGCACTGGGCGATGAGGACGAGCTGCAACTGACCTCGCATATACCTAATCCGGCAATTTGAATGGAAAAATCTGCACTTACGTCGATGGAGAATAGTCGTTGTCGTCATCATGAACTGGAATCACCTCGATATACTTTGTGCTGCCATTCTCCTGGCCGTAGCAGCTGTTTTTCTCCGACTCGTCGTCTTCGGCTAGAGTCAGATTAGTCTGGCTGTCGCTGCCCGAGCTCTCCGCATAGTCAAACTGCCCTGTTTAATCATCGACAATTGCGTAAATCGCCCGGACTATTTCAGCAAAATTTACCTTGCGAATCTCTGGGCAGTTCTCCCGTGCAGTCCTTGGGGACTTTTTCCAGGCATTTCTTGTGCACGTTGTAGTTGCAGTCTTTGCATTGCAAACCCTGCTTGAACAAGCCTTTGAGCAGCTTCTTGCAATGCTGGCAAACAGTTGGCCGGGTGTAGGAATGGATTACAAAGGTGTGAGGAATACGCAGGACTCTGCAAGGGACGTCCCGATCCAACCAGGTTGAACGTCCACCCAGTGAAGGGGAACGATTGTGGCCATGTTGGGATATCTATGGAAATTGGTTTGTGATTAAGTGCGTCTTGTTCCAGGCGTGAAGGTTTTTGATAGTTTAAAACGACTTGAAAATTTACTGATTACAGGAATAAAACGCAGGAACACAGGAACGACAACAAAAAAAAACCAAGCATAAATAAAAGGGGGTATATTGAAACACGTAACATAAAGTCTAGGCTTTAGTCAAATTAACAAAATAAATATCGAGTATCAAAAACCGCCACCGCGCTAACAATATAATTCTAGATTCTCCTGGACGGACTCATTGTATCACATTTTTTAAAGCACACCACACCACTACTAATCGACAATATACTGAAACAGTGGTGCACTGGGAATGTTTGAAAGGTATACGAGACGAGAGGTAAACGAGGAGCTATTCATCTAATTTAACCCCCGTAAAAAAATTGGCCAGTCTTACCAATCCACTATCCTCAGTCTGCGTGGAATTTCCAGACGCTAAAGAAGTGTTGCTGCCGCCTGAAGGACTCCGTGGAACCTGCAGATTAGCCGATCGACGCCTTTCAGACTTATTTCCTTCATACAGCATGAAGGAGCAGTTGTTTGGCACTTTAACCACGCATCGCTTATGGTAGTTCTGCCCACATCCTAGGAAGAAATAACATTATCACTCGCTCTGTGAATTAGCGAATTGGTGTTGCGCTCACCATCACACTTAAGTCCCTGCCTGACCAATCCAAAGAGCATCTCGCCGCAAAAGTCGCAGAATGTGGGCGTTTTGTACGAATGCACCGAGAGAGCATGGGGCCTAACGATGGTCACTTCTGAATGTTGAACGTTCGGAACTGAAACTGCACATTGGAAAAACTGCTCCCAAAAATCGACATTTATACCTTTAGCTGTTACCACGATTTCAATTAGGGTGCCATCAACAATGTCCGAAGCTGAGTTAATAACCTGCAGTATGTTGCTGGAGCTGTACTCGTGCTTGAACAGCAACAGTCTGTCGTCCAACTTGTTAATTCCATGATCGGGAACCTAAAACACCGCTCAATAAATTCAAAAGGATATAAATTCGGCTGCTCACCTTCGAGTTGAGAAAATCGCAAGCTAAGTCTTTAATAGTCTTCAGATTTAGTGTGGATTGGGGCACTGTGATGGCATCTTTGATAAACCCAAATTGAAACATAAAGGTCACCTCTGGTCCCAGGTCATCCATGTTGAGTTGAGATGATGTCTGCAGGTTTAACTGCAACATTTCGTCACGTTACTTCAACTAATTGATGTGAAAACAATAACCGAAAATGTTCATTGCTCGATTATTCATGAATAATTAATCTCTTTGTAGTTAACGGGGATTTAGTTGGGTTTGGGGGGCAGTTTGCAACGCGTGAAACTTCCCAAAACAAACACCTCCACACAATCGATACGAAAATCGCAGCAAAGTTTGAAAAACGAACGTTTCACTGATTGTCCAGTAATGTTCATTATATCAGACAACAAAACCCGAAAGAAAATCACGATTTAACTCTGCTGAACACTTTTTGAGAATTCGATACCGTTACTTGAACTGATTTTGGTTAATTTGCAGCCCTGGGCGTAGTGCGCTTACCTCATGCGGGCGCCTTAAATAACCGACGCTCTGCGGTTAGGAGATGCAGTTTTCGGTCCGGGAATTACCGAATTTTAAGATTTTTTCGGATATTTTCGAAAAAAACATCTAAAACACTGAGGACCCTGACATATTGACATTCACAACAAATCTGACAAAATTGAAAGACATCAGCGGCCTTGAATGGTGACGGTTCAAGAACGTTTGCCGCCAACATAAAAATAAATCATCAACCTTTTCATTTAATTCAATCAACAATTTCGATGATTTGATATGAATTGTTCTGCCAGTTTTCCAGCATTTTCAGAAACTGATCTGTTTTCATTGATTTGGTTGCCGGCGAAAGAGATAGAGCATGATGGAGGCATTCTGGTCTTTCTCTAGCGCATGGCAAGAGCCCGCAGAACAAAAAAAAGGGAGAGTGAACTCGTACGCAGCCCGCACTAAGGGTGCACTTACCCCCGTCGTCCATTTTCGTATGGTCACTCCGAGTTAAACAAAGACAAACACTGCTCGTATGTGAATTGCTAGACCAACGTTCAGCGTCCGTCGCTTGTTTCCATCCTTCCCTAGTTTCCGTGAACGCGAGCGAAGACGAGAGTGTTCATGTTGTTTGTTGTGAATTTTTGTTTTTATTTCCATTCGGTCTTTCTGGCGTCTAGTTCAACCATTTCGCAATAGTTAAATAAACGCGTCCGACCATTCGGGAAGTGGACTCATTCATAAAATCGGCGGTTTACGCGTATTCTGTTCAGAATGGACGTTTCAAAGATGCTGGAAATGGACTAAAGTGCGTTCATTAACGTGTGAAAAGCCTGAAGATGAAGAAAACAAGTCGTTTAGTGCCCTTCATCGTAATCTACCTGTGCCAAAGCACACTTGCTGAGGACTTGATTCCCACACGTAAGGCACTTTTTTAAGGGGGTTTGATGGGTTATTGTTGCTAATGGCCAGCGGTCAAGGTGCTATTGACCATTCGATTCAGGTTATTTATTGTTTGTGCAGTTTTATTCGCGTAAATATTGGCCAAACGCCTCGCTGATCTCAGGCCATTATCTATTCCATCTAGGTACACATCGGGTGTTTAGGATTTTGAATGTTTTCTTGCTCAAATGGGCATTTTATCAATATTTTTGACGTTTTGAACTCAGTTTTATTAACTAACATTGATGCACAGTTACGACCGGTTTTTAAACTGTTTTAAGCATGTGGTTGTAAACTAAACTTTTCTCACGATAATAAGTAATCTTTAATAGTAAAAGTTGCCCACAAACAATCCCGAAAAATGACATTGATCTGTCAAAATTAATTTATTGGTGTCAAGTGTCAACTCGCGGGCTCAAAAGTCCAAACGTCTTTATTTGACACTTATTTTTGACACATATTTTGATTACATGTTATTGTGACTTGTTTTGTTCAGTTCTACTCGGCTTTTGCGAGCCTTTAAAGTCAGGGGGAGAGTTATGTAGAAAAATACAGTCTTCTGTTGTCTATGAAATTGCAAAATTTCATGTTTTCCGTCCCGTTTTGCATGTTTCTCGGAAGCAAAATGAGCAAGAACGCTCGTTTTTACATCATTCCAGAGATAACGA